CTCCCAGTTCTCTGTATGACGTAATCGTGGATAATGAAAAAAAGAGACCAAAGTAACTCCAAGCAGCCAGAAATGAGATTTCTTAGGAAAGTTAAAGGCTGCATTAATACAAGGCCAGATAAACATGAGGACAACCGTAAAAAACTAGATATATACAATATAAATGAAAGAGATCGTAGAAAACAGGAAAGAATGGCGCGCCCATAGCGCAAAGAAGGGAGGAAGATCGTTATTCCAACAATTAGTGATGAACTACCAACGAAGGAAGAAGAGATAATCGGCCGACCTAGAAAAGATGTCCTGGACTGATGTGCAGAGCGAAGACGGAACAGGCACTTCTGCCTAATCCCTGAAATGGAGAAGAAGAAGAACTTAATTGAAAACAACATATTGAGATAAAAGCACAAAATGCAAAAATCAAACTCATTCAATTAAGACCTCTAGTAAACTCATACAACCACCTCTCACTGTCAAATGCACTAACACTATACAAATCACTCATTCGCGCAATACTATTATACGCATGCCCGATCTGGACCAATGCCGCCAAAACCAATCTCAACAAATTCCAAGTGATTCAAAACAAATATTTAAGATCAATAACAAGAGCACCATGGTTCATTAGTAATAAACAACTTCATAACGATCTAAACATAAATGAAATAACTCACCAAATAGCATTCCTATCAAACAACGTTTACACGAACTTATCCTTCATAAAGGCAACAACTCACTACAGACTCGGCAAAGATCCCAGATACAAAACCAGAATTAAGAAGATTCCCGCTTCATTCTTTCCTCCAGATATTTGCAAATGTAGAATAATTCTCCTGAGGTGCTTAAAAAAAACTACATACAGATTTGAACAGTGCGGGTGATAAGGGGGATCCTTGTGGTAATCCTGCTTGGATTAACCTTGATTTGAGTGACAATTGTTGACTGTTACTGCAAAGGATAAGTAGTTTTGGATTACTGAGGTAATGAGGTATGGAGTGTCGATTTTCTTTCGTTTATATATTAGTGCCTGGTGCAATACTCTATCAAATGCCTGTGTTGTTTCGAATGATATGAGTATCGAGTAATGTTTTTTTCTGAGATGCTATGTTGAGATGATCTGTAATTCTGAGAAGTTGGAGCTTAATGCACATATGTTCAGTGAATCCAAATTGCTCTCTTGGGATGGCTTTTGTTAATTGTAGGTGCTTTTTTTACTCTTTTGAGTATTATGTTCGCGAAGATTTTGGACAGAGATTGTAGAATCCTATTGGACGATATCTGTCAGTGTTCACTGAATTTTTATTAGTTTTCGGAACGGGAAGAATAATGACATGCTTCCAAGTGGGTGGAAAATGATTTGCTCTGAAGCATGAATTGCATACAGTTGTTAAGTATACAATTGCAGGGGCTGATAAGTGTTTTAGTATTGAATTATTGCTATTATTGTGACCTGGCGCTTTTTTTATCGTTAGAGAGTTAACGACGTGTTTAATTTCTTTAGTTTGTGAAATGAATTTTGTGGTTTGGGCCGTAGTTTGGGAAGTTTATTGACTGTATTATTGTGGTGTGTTCCGGGTGCGATTTAGATTGGTTGAGGGTGAAAGTCGACTCAAAGTAGATGACTACTTTCTCTACCTTGTCGGATGAGGTGAATAACTTACCTTTAGGTGAGTGTTTCAACTCTTTCCCTGGACGTTTAGTAGAATGTTTGGTTTATTCGACATAATTAATTTATCAGTATGTATTGCAAGCTCATAATACATTTTAAAGTGATTACTTTTTATTGACTTCGAATTCATAATGAGGGATGATTTCCTCTTCGGCCAGTGACCCGTGTTTTGGTTGCCAGTGCTTAGTGGCGGTGTAGATACTCCGTGTTCGTCCAAATGACGAACTTACAGTAGCGCTTACTTAACGGCTCCAAATTTTTCAAAGAAAATGACATTTATGACCAGGTTTTACTGTTCTTTAATGACCTTAAAATAATATTTTCGTTCTACCATAAAAAAACGAAAAATTTACAAAATTTCAAAAAAATATACTTTAGACGGCGATATATGGCAGCAGGCAAGAGTATGTGGCAAGTGCGAATAGCAAGCCGAGACCAAAGAAAATAGTAAACTAATATGGAGAAGTCTGTATCATCCTGTATCACCATTAGTTCCCTTTGTCCTTATCGGTTTTTTTGATCCTTCCGGTCAGACGAAAGTATTTTGTTTTCTTTGTTGCATTCACAGTTTTATCAGAACACTTGTGCATCTAGCACTAGCATTTTTAGCATTAGTGTTAAAAATTGTACTTTTAGTACGTTTGGCCGCTTTTAATAGTGTCTGTCTAAAAAAGTAATGTAATCTTCTTTATGATATATTCCCGCACGAGACAATGTTTCTTTTTCTACACGATAATTAGTAACCCACACGTACATAGAAGTATGGAACTGCAGTACTTTGTTCTTCAATTTAAAATTGTTCTAAATCACAGAAGACGCTAGTGAAAACTCCCTTGGTTTGTAATTCGGATTCGAAACGAATAGTTCCAAATTACTGGTGGCTGTCGCTTATTTGGGCAGAAACATTGTAGAGGCGATTTTATTTTTTTTTTTTTTTTTTTTTTGTTTTTAACTACAATGAGGTTTGGCAATGAAAGTGATGATATGGAACCAGATCATGCTTCCCATTCTGTTTTGCCTTTTTGTCAAATGCTCCAAAAACTTTCTTTAAAAGTTTCAGATTAGGGAAAAACTACCTGCTTTTTTATTTGAATTTTGCGGAATCATCACAATACACATGAGCCAGCCTGAATGGTTTTACTTTTTCTGAATTGACATAAAAAACTTTAACTTTACACTGTGAATAACATCCCAAGTTGTCATTTCATGAAAATGAAATTTCACAAACATTAATTTTCTCTTCTCTTTATTAGAGCATACAAAAGAACTCAATGCAGCCAAAAGGAACTTCTTTAATTAAAAGTAACCAGAAAATGTTTCTCTCTTTATAATTTAAAATCATCACTGTCTCCAAAAGATTTAAAAATAATTTTATTAAAAACATGATCAATTATGCATATTTTTTCCAAATTTAAGCTGAACAGATTTCTTGAAATGACCAAATACACATATTAATACAGGTTTAATCATCCTTGATTCATTGTAGATAGCCAGAGTGCAGTGTATGGTGCACTGAATAGAAGTTTGCTCACTGGTGTGAGTGAAACTGGCCAACTAATTTCACCAACAAACAGTGCACTGTTTTCACCAAAACTATACAAGGACAATCTAAACGTGTAAAAATGTATAATTATTTTTTCATGAAATAAGAATGTAATTCATACAATTAATTTCTTTTCCAATTTATAATAAAATGTCAGTACTTTTAAAAAAAGAAAGCAGAGAATTTGATGATCAATTATAATTACATTTTTTCACCAATAAAATCTTCAACAAATTGAATGAGCTATAAAACTTACTGGACTCTTGTTAACTACAATACCTTCACCATGCATTGCACTGCAGAAATCTATCTCCGTACTATACAAGTATCCAATACATACTGTCATATAGCCAAACCACTAAAAATGACACGCAAACAGTTGAAACAAATGGCCTACAAGTCCAAAATAAAACAAAACAGCATTCATATTAATTATCAGTCACACAAAAGTAAGACTAGGAACTTGAAGACATCTCAGGAACAACAACCATTTCATGAATAAAGGTACAGAAGATTAACGCACCAAGATTTCTTTGAAAAGGTTTAAAAAAAAAGTTTAAAATGAATCATACAATTTTTTGTGAATTAACTAAAATCATATCGAAAATAAGTGAAGTGAAAAAATTTGAAATATATGTGATTACAAAATACTAACACCTGCCAAGTTTGTGCACACCAAAAAAAATAACACACAATAAAGAACAACTGTATAGTTCATTTCAATAGCATTTTTGAAGTAAGGGAAACAAAAATTTACAAAAGAATTTTAAAATAAGTTCTGCTTCATTTTCTTCAACTTCTTTCAGAATGAATAATACTATCACAATGGATTTTTTGTGCTTTAGCAATCTGTAAAGGCCCACCATCAACACACCAGCACCTTTTATTCAAGAGAAACTTTTTGTAATGTTCTGAAAATACACCGCATCTCCAAAATTCAAGGAAGGAGAGAAAAAAGATAACACCACAAGATGAAGTTACCTTATAAGTAGAGGAATAAATATTAATAATATGTAGGATATTATAATGTTTATTATATCACTTTAAAGTTATGAACACATGAAATACTACCTATTTCTTTTAAAATGCGAGTAGCTTTTAAGACCACAGAATGAAGTTACAAGTGTAAGGGTAGAGTTAAAAATTAGAAATTAGCATTATTTGGAACAGCATATCTGAGATGAATAATGTAAAAGCCAATTTTTGTAAGGTTGTGATCTTTGTGAACACACCTGACCTTTCCATTCAAAGTTTGGATAAAATATGCGGTTTATTTTCAGGCCAAATGGTACTTTCATCAATAAATTTATTTCCTCATTGATTTACTTCTTATATTGGAGAACTTTTTTTATGAACAAATGTGTTTTACTTTGTATTAAGTTCCCAGAAAACTGACTATCACATACTATATACACAGTTCATTATAAAAATTAAATAGACTAGGCTCAGCTTCTACACCGACTCTGTACTTCACATTTCCCTCCAAACTAAACAAACATTAGAGACAATAAATTTCTTGGTAGTGCTAAAAACAAAGTTTAAGGCACTTCTTCATTTTTTGAAAATACTATTTTGTCTTATCACATCATAATCCTCATAACACCTTAAAGATTTTTGTATAGTGCACCAACTTTCTCCTCCAAATATTTCCCTCACAAACAATGATAAGTTTTTGTGTCTTTTCAATATCTCTCATAAAACTCGACCAAATGGATTCTATGCAATAAAAAGTAATTTGAACTAATACAATAAATATCACATGAAACAATGAAATATCACTTCAAATGAAAATTACAATTTTTTATTAATATTGATACTAACCAAATTCATTACGCCTCACCAACCGGAAGCCATCCTTGTAGAAATCTCTACACTATATAAATACTATATTCCGCTCAGTGGCAACGGTTCACTAAATGTGAAAAAACTGTAGTAACTTCATCTTCTACAATTCAACATTCCATACACTGGGAGGAAGCTTATACGTCGAATTCGTAAGGCACAGCAAACCCTACTTTCGACATTACTTAGTATCTACGCGCTGGCTGACGACAGTGATCGCACCATCGAGACGCCGCTGAGGTCTCGGCGTGTAGGAAGGCTCAAACGCATGGCAGCAGCGCGCGGAGGTAGGAATAAAAACATGCATGGAATAACGTGCGCGCGTACTTGGCCGAGAGCCGGGGGCGGCGGCGGCGGCGGCGGCGGCGGCGGCGAGGGTGGGCCGCGAGACGCTAATACTGACAGGCGTGGCGGGTACAAGCCGGAGCGGGGAGAGGCTAGCCACCGGGCCTCGCGGGAAGCGGTGGCGTGCGCGGCGGGGACGTGGCGGGGGGTGTGGGAGGCAGCGACGAGGGCGGCGACGTCGACGGCGGCGTGGGCGGCAGCGACGGGACGTCGTCCGGCGTGGCCGCCCCCGCGCGCAGCCGCAACGCACTGAAGTCCAGTCCGTACTCGCGCAGGAGCTCCTCGGCGTCGCTGCTCCGCGCGCTGCGCCCGCCCGCCGACGGCGCCGTCAGGGACGACGAGCTGCTTCCGGCTGCCGGCGCCGGCGTCTCCTCCGGCCCCGCCGACGTCGCCACGGAGGAAGACGACGACCCCGCCAACGCCATCGCAGCCGCCACCTACAACACAAGCAATTCTTCGTGTCCAATGATCAGTGGCATAAAGGACCATTTTACAATGCAAACATAAACATAATGGAAAGACATTAACAGAAGTGATAGGCTGATATATTTATAATCTCAATAAAGCAAAATAAGAGTTTATATTAGCTGTGAGAAATTCTAGTTTACTATTGGTTAGATGAAAGAATCGATGTGGCCATGGCCTATGGCGTTATTTCGTCTATCGACTTCGATCCTATTTCGATACTACAATTGTAATGAATTGAATTGCCTTATTTTACGTGGCGAGACACAGGCCATGAGGCCTACTCTCCCGTCTGATCACAAATTTCGTTACGCTCCTTTCACCAACTAGCGAAGAAAGGTATTTCTTGAAACATGCGATTTGAATTCAGCACAGAACCTTCATTTAGGCTTGACGATTTTTTTTACATCCAGTAAATCTACCAACAATGGACAGCCAGCTTTACTTTCCCTCGATAGATTTTTTCGTCCTTCAAAATCCACGGCTTCGATCGGGTTTGAACCCACTGACTGGTATAAACCATACGCTAACCGTTACACCATCGCCGCCGCTGCCACGTAGTGTTTGGTTCATTTCTTGTCTTAAGCACAAGCACAGGAGCTTCAAGCTTGCAAGCTTTTCAGTTAACGTATTACGTGTTATGCATATGTGAACGCTTTGTGAATGAGTCAGCTTATGGACGTAGTCCTAACTTTTATGTTAACGCAAGGGCGGCTCGTGATCACGCCAGTAGGGCGTGCAACGTGTCTTCCCTCTCCCTTCCTCCTCTCATACACAAAGGCAGAAATTAAATACATACATACATACATATTCATCACATTCATAAATAATTACAATTAAACTTAGAGCATCTTATGAACTGTATTCTCAACGGTATCTTTCATCAGCAGTGAGGGTTGCCCGCATCTCTTTTCGCAACACCTGCTTCGACTTCCCTTGGCAAGGACCCCTCCGAAATATTTACTACCAGAGTCGGATTACCGCGAATCTTCTCAGCATGTTTCGTAACCATTTTTTGTAGGGATGTTAAGAGTTCTATTGTACACGTTGATTAATAACTTTTTTACTCGCACTTTTGCTGTAGAATTTTTTCCATAAGTTAGCTGTTCAAATTTTAGGTCAGGTTAGGTTAGGTTAGGCTAGATAATTTGTTGTCTACACTGTGTGACGAAGTCAATTCAACGCTGTTTCTTTTCGGCAAATTTTCTTCACGTTTGACAGAAAAACGAACACTGTAACTGGTTTTTCAAAAGGGATTTAAAAAAAGCCAACTACATACGTTCACAAAATGGGTTTTCATTAAGTCGAAATGGATTTGTAATTGCAACTCATTTCAAAATATACGAACATGTGAATACAATATTAAATGAACTCAATTCTAATGAATGCAACTCCGCACAGCAATGAGTTCGCGTTTCGCGCGCTGGCGAAGAACTGTTTTATTGGAACTCTTTCCAGTAGAGAGATATCTCACACTTCCTTCGTTCAAGGATAAACTTACTTATCCTACAAACTTGTGATAGCTGAGTGTTATATCTTCAAGACATGTCAAGGCACTTTCTGAGATCGCCACCAAGGTGACGCAGTGGCGATCGCACACTTACCAGAATGCTCCTTCCGTCCATAAGTCACTGTTGTTCCCTCTTTCCCCTCCAGCCCCGTGGCAGCCTATGACGCGCTTTACTCGTTCGCAATTCCCGAGTGTGCGCCGGCTGCTTCCATAAAGGGCACGGACGACCCTTGTTTTGAAATTCCCGTTTTTTGAAAACATTCTGAGAGGACTGGTATTCCCCTCTTGTTTAGAGATATTTAAGAGAAAATGCACCGAATTAATTTGGGTGTGCACATGCGAGCGTGCGAATAGGCAAGAGCCGATACTGTGTTAACGCCATACTTGTTTATGGTTGCATTGTGAATGGGCCGTAACTAGGTAAAATAGCGCCCAGGGTAAGCCTTACCCATTGGCTCCCCCAATACGGGCATGTCAGCAACCGTATTTGGTTCGTAGTTTATAAATGGAGTTTCGTAACGATAGTCTTTCAATGGAAATTAAATAAAAATTAAACAAAAAATTACACAAAACAATACTTTACTACATATAACAAAATAAATTACAAATCTCCTTGGGAAAATAGATGGGGAATATTGAGAGCCAAATATTTTATTTAATAGAGAACCCTTTTTAGCAATTCTCTTTATTTCCGTTTCTCATTTCAATTTTACAATGATGTAGTGCTAATCACTTCTAACAGTACGCTTTCATTCAAATTTCTCACTTTCTCGATTATTTCCGACATGCAAAACATCCACGGTGGTTGGTCAAGTTTATTTGGAAAGGTGCTCTCCGATGTTTGAATTCACATTCTCTACCTAGTGTCGTTTGCTGACCGAAACGAGAAAATAAAAGACAACCAAATTAAAATACAAGCTGTTTCGTTAAAGAATAAACTATGATTTTGAAACATTTTCCAATTTTCCTCTAAATTAACTTGAATTTACTGTCAGGTGGTTTGTTGAAAGAAAGGGCCGATCAGAGTTCTCAATGTATTTTGATCCTAGTTTTATTATTTACTTCTCAACGTATCAAATATGGCTACTTTTCCAGTAATTTTTCAAAACATTGTCAACACTGATGGCATTGCACTGAATAAAATTTGGTATTACATTAGTGTTATTCACGTTTTTAACTCACTCAGCAACTAGTTACATAAACAAATGAATTAACTAGTGGTGTTAAAACAGCGCATACTTTCTCGCCTTCGGTAATAGTTGTGTAATACTTTTTATACTAGATATGTAGTATATTTTTTAATAAAATAAAAATGAATGAATGTTTAATTATTTTAAATTTTAGCTATGCCTTTTCCTTTACATGGGTCATTTTTGAAACAAAAATAAACAAACAAAAAAACAGCTCTAACGTTTTTGATTAGATTTTATGGTTCGATAGTATGAAGGACATTTATGCGAATGGTGCAGGATTCATTTTCGTTAAAAACGCTGATTTTTCGAAAGTTGCAAAAATTTAAAACTTTTCTACATTCTAATTTCAATGCAGCAAAAATGTACATTTGTATTATATCCAACATATTTCAGATTTACTGAATATCTGGTTAATATCAAAGGTAAGATTTTCTAGGAGTGAAGCCATTGCTCCCAGTGTTCAGAGGGAAGTGTAGGAACTAATGTTAAGAAACTTGTCGCCCGATTTGAAGCGCGCTACGTCCACGGTGTTGCCGACTTGCGCGTTTCCGTCCCGAACCTCTAAAAAGCGCACACAAGTCTGCCTTCGGGATAATGACTTATTATTTTTGAGAGTTATTACGTCTACAACTTTTCAACATTTAAGAATTAATTCCAGGAAGAACATTGTACTCAAAATACTGTAAATATATAACAATTTTGTATTAATTAAATTTATTCAAAGAATTGTTGCCCCTACCGAGCCTTCAGGATTACACAGTTCGAAACCGGGCCTTCAGGATTACACGGAGCTGCCTAACCACTAAGCTACCGAGACAACAAATCCTTGTTTTCAGCCAATCCAACAGTTTTCATGAGCGCGATTATCCAACAAGGTGACAGGATGGTGGCAATTTTATATAATTTTGTATTATATATTTTTTATTTTAAGAATATATTGTAAATTACAGTAAATTAGTAATTGACAGTCATACAAATTTCTGAACAATAAATACTGTAATGTATTGTAACCATATGTATAAACATTTGAAAATATAACATATCAAAAATGTCCAACACAAAGAAATGGAATTTTCTTAAAAATAACTCATTTTCGAACACTTTATCAGACAACCCCTAGTTGGCGAATATATGAAACCTGCAAAAGAAAACTCATTAAGGCAACTGGGGTGAATAAACATGTGAATTATTTAAAATACGTATTTCATATAGAAGTATTTTAATACTGCCTAACCCTACACTTTAAAAATCTTATATTTGGTGCAAAAACTGAATATTTTCAAGCAAATATCAACACAAAATTTGACAACTATAACTGATTTTCATGCAGGTAAATTATGTTCCAACAATAAGATGCAATTCACAAAAATTAGCTTCCGAGTCATTGTAGCATTCCAATCTGATATTTAATGATAGCTAGTAGTATTTTACATAGGTTTAACATAATTACTAAAAGATTAATGTGTAAAAGTATAACAATAGTCGAATGCAAGAAACAAACAAAAGATATATGAAATATATAAATTCTAAGCATCCAAATGTCGGGAATTACGACAACGAAGCGCAGTAAATTTGGACCAGAAATTATTTTTGTCTCCATATTTGCCCAAAAATACTCATATTTTCAAAAAATTGAACCTGACCTTTGAAAATCTATTTTTGATGAACACATCCTCAGTCATTGATTTGCACCAACACCACTAAAGATGTACCGGTTCTAGGTACTGTTGCTTGCACTCGACAGTTTAATATCTTAAACTGCCCTATTATAATTTAATTAATGATGGCCTAAATAACACACCTCTATAAGTATCATTTGCCACCAGAATAAAGAAACGATGAAAGCCATTATTCCCTTTAAAGACCGTCAACTTTATGTACTCGTACATCAATATATTGAGAATACATATTGCAGAATTAAGTAAAGTAAAAGTGCGAGAAAGCAAAAATTGAATTAATATCAGCACTTTCTAGCGTTGTGCAGCGACGGAGAAACCGAAGGATCATTGGACTGAATGACAACACCTCTTTTTAAGGTTGTCTTCATTTTTCCGCTCAAAGGTCTAATATTTCAAAAGGGTGACCGGATTAGGTTGGCTCAAGGCATCGATTGAATCGTTTACTTCAGAAACCCGTCAAATGTCAAAATCTAATAGAAGCATTAGCGGCGGATTATTGCTCCAAGAAGATAGACACATAGCTTAGTGCGTATTTATATGAAAAATATTCATTTATCAACTGCTTTAAAATATACAAATATTTTGAAATC